GGAGGGCAACCCTGAGCCCCTCCATCTTCCCCAGGCCTGAGACTCCGGCCACTCGGAAGAAGGGCGACACCGAGCCCCTCCATCTTCCCCAGGCCTACAGCTCTGCACACGCTCCTCCTGCTTATCCAGCCCCTCCCAGGTGACGTACGACTCACCCTCCATAACCAGGCAGGAGCTGCCCCTCCACAAAAGCCTCTGCTGACCCTCTTCCCGCTCCCACACGGGTACAGACACGGCTCTCAGGAGCTCAGAGAACGCCAGGCAGCACTGACCCACAGGATCCCGTGGAATGACCACGTGTGTATCTGTTCTTTGACTAGACCATGTGCTCCCGGAATGCAGGGGCTGTCATCCTCCACATCCCCCGCCCGGCGTCCCCGAGACAGCTGTGTCTCAGCCACCAGCACCTCCTCTGACCCCCACAATGTTCCTGCGGGCCAGTCTCCAGGACAGGTTCAGCAGGTGGCCTCGCAGGCAAGGGAACGCCAAACTGTGCATGGAGGAGGGTGGGCTACGTCTCAGTGCCCAGCAGCCAGGACCGCACCACGGGGCCACACCCGGGGGGGACACTGGGCCACGGGACGGCTCTTGGGGGGCGTGTCGCAGCTAACGCCCTCTATTTTAACACTGCTTTTGTAAAAACGAAACAAAGGTTTCCATCCTTTAAACAAATTTTAACAGACAACCTGCTGATTTGCTGCTTTGATCAGTGATGTCCACTAAAGGTGATTTGATGTGGGAAGAATTCGCTGCAGGTTCAGAAGCACTGCCAGGAGGAGAATGTGACGGTAACAAAGCCAGGCCCAGCAGAAAAGCTTCACCAGCATCTCGCTTCATATCTTCAAGATTTCATTAGAAAATGTAGCACACTAACGACCTGGGCTCCTTTGAGAAGGAACACACAATGGAACACGCCCTTCCACACGCTGAGTCTGGCTGAGGTAAACCTGTCCAGGTCATATCCCTCCCAAGTGAAGCAGTGGCGTCTGCTTTCCCAACAAACAACCCCCAGGTCCCCAGCCCTGCTCCTGATGAAGCCCACCTCCAAGAGGGAGCCACACGCAGCCAGTGCGGGTTCGCGCTAGGGCAGCCAATGACTCCCAACGGGGAGACACAGACCCCCGTCCCCTGCAGGGCTCTGCGCTCTGACTGTCTGATGAGTTCTCTGCAAGGGCAGCCTTCGCTCTCACCAGGAAAGGAGACCGGGAAGCCAGCGTCTCCCTAAACGTCTGTTGTGCTGCGGTGGGTGGGGGAATCTGAGGGTGTGTGGAACCCACTTTTTCTAGGTGTGTGAAACCATGGACAATCATCTGTGATATTTCTACATCTAAACAGGTAAGTTTTCAAGTTAATAAAACTGTTTTGTTCCGTTGCTGACGAACACGGGGGCGGGGAGGAGGACCCAGTACACAAACCTTCCTGCCGTCTGTGGTCGCAGTGGGGTGTGTGTGTGTGTGTGTGTGTGTGTGTGTGTGTGTGGTCTGTGGTCGCAGTGGTGTGTGTGTGTGTGTGTGTCGCTCCCAGGCAGGAAGGAGACTTTTACACAAGCTGCCAGGAGGCGCGGCCTGCTAAATGCCTCTAAACGAAGCAAACACACAATGTCTGGTATAGAAACGCACTTTGGAGAGAATTAGACATTCAAAGATCTGTTCTCGCATGAGGCTGTACGGAAAGTGGGTGCTCTGTGCTGTGGTCAGGGTCGCATGGCCCGGTGCCCCGTGTTGCCGGGTCCAGCCTGGGCGCCCTGCCGCTGCCGGGCTGGGGGTTCACGTACCTTCCGGACCATGGGGCTCCCGTCGCTGACCAGCTGGGCCAGCATCATGGCCACGTTGTGGTCGATGGTGGTGGAGTGGTCCGTCCTCTCTGCAGAGTTGCCCACGAACGTGCCGAGGGCGAAGACCGCTGCGCAGCGGACCTGAAAGGCAGGGAGTGGTCACAGGCACGCCCCACGCCGGGCTGTGCTGAGCCGGCCCGTCCACCAGGGCTGTGTGCAGGTGAGCCCGACCCCACAGGTGCCTGGTGAACAGCAACGCAGGCCCGGGCTCTCCTTGCACAGCTGGAGCAGCAACGGGGAAGGAAGCAGGAGCAGCAGGGCCAGCTGCCCAGCTCCAGGGGCGGACGGTCAGCCTGAAGAGGTGGGGGCTGGGTTTCCCTGGGAATTCAAAGACCAAACCAGGCGCCAGGGAATATTCTGATGAATGAGGCAGGAGTTAGAGGAGGGGCTGGGATGGGTCGCAGGGCAGGGAGGATGGAGCGAGGGGAAGGCGTGGGCACTCCTGCAGGCAGAGGGGGCATGGGAGCCCTGGAGTGCACCAAGCAGGAGGGCTCACCCAGGGGAGCGACACTGAGCTGGCCCTGGGGTCCGGGGACCCTGGCTTAGCCCCTGCCCCCAACACCATGTGGTCCTGGGGAGAAGTCACTGTCCCTGGGCCTGTTCCCTCAGCTCAGTAAGCAACACCCTGTACCCTGCACAGGCCGGTGGGAGGAGTGAAGGCAACGGGGCGTCAAGGCAGTCCCTGCCTCGCAGGCTGCAGCGAGGATGCAGAGCGGCACCCCAGAGAGTGAGCGTGTGACTGCCTCTGAGGTGCCCTCAGGGACCCCCTTTGTGCCGCTGCCCCCTGGAGTGCACTCTGGGCCCAGGTGCAAAGTCCCCAGTGGCGCGTCTCGCTCACCAAGGTCCCGCCCTCCTACTCCTATTAGTGAGCAGCCTGTACTGGCCCTCCACCTCACCCCCCGGGGAAGCCCCGCAGGCGGCAGCAGGGACTGGGCTCTGAGCACCGGCTGGACTCACCTCGGGAATGGGGTCGGAGAGGAGGCTGTAGAGCTTCTCATGGGCGCTGTCCCTCACACCGCACCACCTCGCCGAGTCAAAGTTCTGCCAGATCCGGCCTAGGCAGATGGCCACCCACTGGCGCAGCAAGGGGTGCGGGTCGTTGAGCTGCTCCAGGCAGATGGCGATGAGGTTTCCCTGAAGGCAGGCTTCCTGCAGAGGCGGGACCACAGACAGGTGGGCCTCTGCCTGCCGACGGCGGGCACTGGTGGGTGCCTGTCCGGGATGACGGCGCCACCCATCCGCAGGAAGCCTTATGTATTCACAGCACCAGGTTTGCTCAACGTTCCCCATTTTAAATCCCACAGATTCAAATTCACCCCATAAACGGCCGGGGAGATGAAGGGCCCAAGCGTCTGCTGGACACCCTGTGTCTCCCACGTGGCACCACGTTTCACAGTGGGCCCAGCTCCTCCGCAGCGCCACGGGCAGGCTCTGGGGGTGGGGGTGACCGCGGTGCTCACCTGCCCCGTGTTGTAGCTGTTGACAATCACGGCGAGGATGAAGGCCGTCATGGTCCTGTGCTCCGCCTGGAAAACAAAACGGTCTTGGCTGTTTCCCTCGGTGGAAACTCTCATTCCCAAAGCGCAGCAGCGTGGCCCTTTCACCACACTCTTGGCACATCATTAAAGCCACAAGCCAGCTTTACTGCTGGATTTTGAGACTACAAAAAAGAACCACGGTTCACACGGGCCTGAGAGCTCAGGCTGGTCTCCCGAGTGAAGGCCCAGCACGGCCGGACGGGCACAGACCAGGCGTCTCTTTCCTCTGCCACGGGCCAGCCATGGCTGCCGGTATGGAGCGCCCGGACCTCACCTCCTCAGCCAGCCCAGCGCCCTGTGCACACACCGTCTGGCAGTCAGGGCTGCGGCAGCGGAAGGCACGGAGGCAGCCTTCTAACTGCGTTTCCCTGTTCCCTCCTTTCCGGTCTTCCATGGACCTAATTTTCATCCTCTCCTTTCCTCTGTGCCTCTGCTGACCTGGAAGCCAGAGTCTATTCTGAGCTCTGTTGGGGGCCTTATGTTCTTCCCGTGCACACCGCACAGTCTAGCACGTCCTGTGTGGCGCCTGCAAGGCTCCAGGCACCCATTCCTCCTCATGCTCAACCCCTCCAATTCGCCATGAGCGTTCTTTATTTTTACAAAGCTTCAGATGTGCCAACACGTTTGCCAGCTTCTTTTCGCCGTGTCCTGCATCTTTCTTCTCCCTCCCGGTCCCGTTTCCTCCTCACTGATGCTCGGTCTTTCTAGCTGTCAGCTGTGGGGTTCGGAAGGAGTAAACTGCTGACCACGCTTACTGTACCCCCACTGCTGAGTGGTGACTGAGCTGGGAGCAGGTGTCCCAACTGCAGTCACTTTCCTCCTCTGCTGAGAGTCCCCCTGTCCCCCTCGAGGGCCCCCCATCCCCACTGAGGGCTCCCCTGTCCCTGCTGAGGGCCCCCCGTGCCCTCGGAGGGACCCCTGTCACCTGTCATGGGCTCCCCATCCCTACTTAGGGCCCCCCTGTCCCCCACTGAGAGCTCCCCTTCTCCACTGTGGGCCCCCCGTCCCCTGCCGAGGGCCCCATCTCCTGCTGAGGGCCTCCCTGTCCCCCACCAAGGCCCCGTCCCTGCCGAGAGCCCCCTGTCCCTGCCAAGAGCCTCTGCTGACAAGTGACCCCTGTCCCTGAGAGCTCCCCGTTCCCCTCTAAGAGCCCCCCGTCACCACCGAGAGCTGCTGCTGCTAAGAGGTCTGCTATCTGGGCTGGCGTTGTTTCCTCCTTTGTAAATAACATTTGTTCTGGGGACTTTCAAGGGCTGTGTTCATGTCTCTGATATTTGCTGTTCTCATTACCATGTGTCTATGTATGCATCTGCTTCTGTTTGACCTTCTCAGGGTTCATCGTGCTTTTAAAATCAGAACTCTCCTTTCTTCAAATCTGGAAAATTCTCAGCCAGTATCTAATCAGAAACGGCTTCTCTACTTACCATCTTCTCTCGCTCTGAGCCACGCGAGCTGCACGTGAGCGTGCCCGCCCGCCTCTCGGCGCGCCTTGCATACCCTCTCTCTGAGCTTCACACACGGCGCTCCAGGTGTCTCCTTCAGGGACTCCTTCTCGTCTGTCTGCTCTGTGATTTAATTCATCTCCCGAGTTTTCAGTAACAGGGAATGTCTTTTCTATTTTACAGCTTCAATTTGTTTTTTCGGATTTGCTTATGTGTTTAGAGAAAGCAGTCGTTTCTGAGGATGGGCAGGGTGTTTTCTCATAACAGGCACAAAGCCCTGAAGACACGAAGCAATGGCTGATGTCTGACATTATCGTACCGATTTCCTTCCAGTCCGTCATTTAAACATGTTGACATTACTTAGTTATTTACTGGCGATAGGGTCTCACTGTTGGCCAGGCTGGAGTGCAGCTGTACAATCACAGCTCATTACAGCCTGGACTTCCCCGGGCTCAGGCGACCCTCCCACTTCAGCCTCCCATGTAGCGGAGACCACAGGCATGCGCCACAATGCCTGGCTAAGTTTTTGTATTTTCGGTCGAGATGGGGTTTCACCAAGTTGTCCAGCCTGGTCTCGAACCCCTGAGCTCAGTCTGCCAGCCTTGGCCTCCCAAAGTGCTGGGATTACAGGCGTGAGCCACTGCGCCCAGCCGTCTCTTCCTTCCTTCCTGCCCGGCTGTGTCCTCAAAACCCCCGCAGGCTCGTATGAGGGCGTGAGGTGGGGCCGGTTCCTGTGAGCCCAGCTCATCCCTTTCCCTGTCACCGGCTAGCACTCCCTCTCACTTCTCCATGTTGGATGTGTTTTTTCGTTACTCTTAAGCATGGGAAGTGATCTCCAAAGCTGGCATCAAGTATAAACTTTAACTGCCTAGGACGGTGTCTCGATCCAACGCAAAGTGCATGTACTATTCACCTTTCGGAAAGCAGTCCTGTTTATGTTTGCTGTGTTTTAGAAAATCATTTCGCTTAGAAAACCAACTAGGGGTGAAATTACATAGAGAAGTTCCTTTCTGCAGCCAAAGCCACCTAGCACCGTGTAACAAGCTCATATGCTTACATATTCTGGCAATATGAAGTCATGTTAAAGAATTATTTAGGATATATCTACTTTGTTTTCATCACTGAGCTGGGAGCCAGAAGTGGGAAACACAACATTACGAGACATTTACAGAATAACTCTACACCCAATTCATGGATGACTCATTTTTAAACAATTTAATACAATAAAATATACTGAAAGTTTAAACTTTCAAAGTCTTCTTCCGCTCTTCCCTTCCTCCTCCCTCCCTTCTTGACGAGGCCCTTCGACAGCCTGCTGAGTCCCAGGGCCTCCCGAGGCTGTGGAACTGCCACATCACAGGTGTGCAAGACTCACTAGTCTAACTCAGTGGACAGCTGGGAAGAGTGGATGCGACCGTTTTGCAAAGAAGTGCCAGTGAAAACAGCCTAAAACAAACCCCCACGACCCGCGTGTCCGGGTGAACTGCAGCCCTTGTTTAGAGACGGAAATGAAACAGCAGCTGCACTCACGGCACTAAGCCAAGGGCCATGTCTAAAGTGAAGCAGTCGCTGGCTGCGTGGACGTGGCCCCTGCTGTGGCCCTGGACCTTTCTCATAACAGCCCCCGCAGAAAGGCCCCGCCGAGTGCAGCGTGTGGGCAGAGGCGGGTGCCGCGAGACGCGAGCCCGCCGAGAGGGCGCTGCCCAGTCCTTACTGGCATGTAGGGGTCCGCCAGCACCGACAGGAAGTACTTGTGGCCATTGTCCTTCACGAGGTCCGCCTGGCACGACTGGAGAGAAAGAGACAAGGAGAGGCTGTGAGTGCAGAGGCCCACGGGAGCCTCAAGCTTCGCGTGGTGCGTGAACAAACGAGGGCACGGGCTGCTAATGCCTCAATATTTCCCCCTTTCCATTTGGAAAAACAGCCGCAGCCGGCGTCTGCAGACATGCTCTCCTTGGCTAAGAAGGGCAGGGATCCCACAACCACCCACTGGGAGGACAGCGGCTCCCAGACACGAACTTTCACACCGTGTGCCGCCTGCTGGGGAGCACCCTGCAGCCCCTGCCGGCACCCCCACTCCTGTCCACGGGGCCCACTCCCTCCCTCTGCTCTCCACACTGGAACACATCCAGCACTCTATCGGAACCAGCCTCTTAGTGCAGACCCGGACTGCCGAAGCTTTTTTGGGGCTTTGCTTGGAGTTACAAAATCCTGATAACCAACCGTGTGTGAGGCAGTAATTCCCACTGACGGGTGTGCACAGGCCCACTCTAACAGGCGCTTCCCACTGGCCCGGCTCTTTTACCCACAGGAGCAGCCCCAAGGCGGAGGCTTCTCGGTGCTAAAGCCGCTGTCAGGCAGGCAGGCATCCTTCCCACCCCTCAGGTCAGCCCATGCCTGTCCACACAATCACACCCAGCACCCTATCGGAACCAGCCTCTTGGTGGTGGGAAGCAGCAGGGCAGCAGGGGCAGGACAGGAAGGGGTGGGATGGGCAGAGGCAGGGCAGGCAGGGGCAGTACGGGAAGGGGCAGGTCGGCAGCAGCAGGGGCAGGACGGGAAGGGGCAGGGTGGGCAGCGGTAGGGCAGGATGGGAAGGGGCAGGGTGGGCAGAGGCAGGGCAGGCAGGGGCAGGTGGGACTGGGTGGGAGCGGCTGCAGAGCCCAGCTGGAGCTGCCACCGGGAAGGACATGGCAGGCGGGCTACGGGTCAGACAGACTGGGCTGGAGCTGCAGGGCAGCAAGGACAGACAGGGACGATCCCAGGGGTGTGAGGATCTGAGTGGAGGACCGCCCACTGAAGAGGTGGGGTGCGTTTTCATCACGGAGGGGTTACAGTGGGGCTCACTGCAGCTGAGGCACCGATGACCAGACACAAGCAGGGCTCCTCCTGGGCGTGCACGGCTGAAACGTGGAACCTGACCCGAGCCAGGCTTCTGGATGAGAAGTCGTCGCTTATTAGGTGGTACTGAAGACCCCTTTCTGGAGTAGGAGGGCAAGGTGGGGGGGACGGGGCCTAGGGAAAGAGGAGGAACGGGCCCCTAGAAGAAGGGGCTTACAAGGGTCCTGGGGGTGTCCTGGAGGAAACCAGCCATCTCTGAGGCTGGCAGTGTCAGCCTGACCACACCAGGCCACATGACTTGGGGGCACTTCTGCAGGTGCTGGTTCTTGAAGGGAATTAAATGATCATGCCTTGGATGGACAGAGGTGATGATAATACTTTGGGAGGTTTTGGCCTAAAACCTGAGGAAAAGGGGCGAGATTTGAAACAAAATTAAGTTTCAAGTCCAGGTTCTCCCTCTTACTCGTTGGGGACCCAGATGAAGTTTTAAAAATCTGTGCTCAGGTGGTGGAATCAGAGATGAAACCAACATGTGAAAGCAGTCTGAACTGGAACTGAAGAGCAATACACAAACTGTGCTGTTTCTTGGAGAGGGACCCACAGAGCGTGGGTTTCTAGGATCAATATCTAGCAACTGATCAGTGACAGACACGTCGCATCCACAGAGTGAGGTGCGTGTCCACCAGCTCCCATCAATATCTAGCAACTGACCAGTGACAGACATCATATCCACAGAGTGTGGCATGTGTCCGCCAGCTCCCAGCATGCTCCTCTCAAGAGGACGAAGCCCATGAAAAACGGGGGACCGGGATTAGAACGGCTCTCCAGCGCAGCCCTGCACGGCTGGTCCTTTCCCCTGAGGCGGGAGTGGTTTTGCAGAGGCAATCTGCTGGTGATGCAGCCCAGAAACCCCTGGCCCCTGCCGTTTCCCAGGGGGGCTCTTATAATGAGGTGTTTCTGCCTCACATCGATACCCTGATGAGGTGGGTTACGGTCTGGGCTGCAGGAATGGGAGCTGAGCGCCATGGGGACTGGGTGGTCAGGGAGCCGGGCGTCAGCCTCTGGTCGCACGCTGCTTCCCCGAGCGGAGGCGGCCAATTAAACAGGCAGCTTTCAAGCAACCACTGGCTTTAGCTGAAGGTTTTGACAAATAGTGAGAGGCATTGACAGCTGTCCCATTAAAGTCTCAGCCCAGGGGGCCGGAGCAGCAGCAAAGCACTCGGTTCTGAGAACGAAGCCACCTTCCTTTCTTTTTAAACCACAGGTTCTGCAAGTCAAATCAAAGCCCATGCATTCACAGTGAAGCTCCTCAAACATGTGTCATGGGCGCCTAACGGAGCGTCAGTGACTCAGGGCTTACTAATTCTGAATTTGAGGCACGCATGTCAGGGTGTGAGAACTTAGATGTGTCCTCGGTATCCATGCGGTGCATACTACCAGATCTCCGTTTTGATAAGGTCATTGTGCCAGGTGGGAACCACGGATGAGGACGATGCCTTTTCATACCTTCATTTTCAGCGCTCGCAGGGGTCATTTGCATATCTGTTTATAACACACAGATTTTTACCGAGTCAGACCGCCCCCACACTCCCCGCAGGCGGGAACCTGGGAGCTCCTGCTTCGCTGGCTAAGGGGACTGGGGTGGACTCTCTCGACCGCCCACCTACTCGCCCAAATCACGAGCACACTTAGGCCAAGGCCCTCGTTAAACAGAAGAGGAAACAAGACTTGAAACTACACACGAGCAGGATGGCAGCCAGCAGGTGACACACACCCCGGGCAGCACGGGTGTGCTGGGAAGACCTGGCAGAGACTCAGGGCTTGGGTGAATGACAGGATGCCGCCAATGCGAATCTGCCCCAAGCCGCCCTCTCGACAGGCTCCACCTTGCTGTGCCTGTTTTCTCCCAGATCAAGCTACGGCGGTGGCATATGAAGGCCAGAGCGGAAGGCAGGTGGAGGAGAGGAAAGAGCAGGAACATGACATGTTCTTTTCTGAGTAAGTCCCCTTCCCTCAGCACACAACTTTGATTCTTCCGTGTCTCAGGAGTTCAGGAATTTATGTTTTTAAATGGGAAAAGGGAGGCAAGGAAGAGAAGAAGGGCAAACACAAAGCTGGGAGGTGCAGGCATGTATGTCGCTGTTGCAGCTGCAGCTGTGGTTTGCAAACAGATACGACACAGAGCAGGAGGAGCCCACGGCCAAGGCCCTGCCTTCCGCAAGTGCACCGTGAGGTCGGGGCGGGCTTTCTTCCTCTGAATATTCTGGCAAAAGGTGTCCTGGGGAGAGACCCTCCCTTTCCTCTCCTTAATAAAGACCGTAAGGTTTGTTTCATGGAGAAGCAGGAACACAAGAATTAAACCCAGACCAACAGACCACTACGCCTGAAGGAGGCAGGATGACGACCCAAGCCCTGGGCAATTTCACACGAACACCCGACCACACACGTCCTGATGAGAACATGGAGACACTCACAGAGACATGGCCAGGTTTTGCGTCCACTGGGTCAGAGAGTTTATCCCTTGTTATAAGCAGGGGTGCTGGAAAGGAAAGCAAGTTTCCAACAAGAAAATGGCTCCGGGGTGAGCCTTCGGTGGACTGTTACCATCACCTAGGATGCCACCGGGAAGTCATCTGAAGACGGAGGGCGTGCTGAGATGTTTATATCTGCAGAGTTTTCACAATGGTGGGTGGCAATAAAACTGGTGGTGCCTGGGAAAATACCACCACAGTAGGGATTTCTGTTGGCTGGCCACAAGAGCTCACGATTCGTCACGACCTCAGCAGGACACCCACTGAGCGGCTGAAAACCTGCTTTCCTCCTCAGGCCTTCACCCTGGGCACAGAGCACTCCCCACTCACCAAGTGAGGCAAGATATTTACACATCTATGTATATATAAATACAGACACAGTCATTTTCTGCCAGTATTTTAAGTATCGACAAACCCTGTAGCGATTCTCAGGCCAGACGTGCCCGTGTCGACAGGGACCCTGAATGCTGTACCTGGGGCCCACGGCAACATCACCGGCACGCTTTCCATCTTTTCCGCACATGTCCTCAAACTTGTAGGTATCAAGGATTGAACATTAAAATGCTATAGACAGGTACAGACTGAGACGTCCTCTGCCCCTACGTGTTATCCTTCTTCCACTTCCCATCCCCACGGGGGACCCTCTGCTGGCTCGGGGCTGACTTGGGTCTAGCCCAGAAGCTGCCTTCCTGTGGTCCCAGCACTCTGCGACTTCCCCAGCACAGAACGAGTGCTGTTCTGACAGCCGGGCCTGGAGTGCTGTCCCCGGGCCTGGAGCGCTGTCCCCAAGGCCACACAATCTCGGCAAGCAAGGTCCTCCCCCTGAGGCAGTACAGTGAGATTCTTCAGCCTGGTGTCAATAACCCAGCAGTGTGACAAACAGCAGCGACTGAGAAACATCTCTGAATAAGGAAATTCACCTTCCCCTTTTCCCTCACCTCCTCAGGGCTTGGGCATACTGAGCTCATGCTTTTGCTGCTGCAGGAATGTGGCCATAGCCCTCTGCCCGCAGGACCTGCTTCCTCCCCGCCTGGGGCCCTGCCGCACAGGCACAGCCTCTACGTGGCCTTTGCTCCCGCCCCCGCTGCAGGGGCCCTCCACCTTCCAGGATAGACTTCAGCTCTGTGAGGATAAAAATGTGTGTTATTAGTCTTTACTAGTCCCAGGAGGCAGAGCATCGTGGTTCCTATTAGCCACTGAGCAGATGTCTGATGAATAAAGAAAAGAACCCATGTTTGTGCTGCGGGGAAACATGACAATTCCTGATCACGTACACCAGTCACACCTGGGGTCCGCTTCCCACGTGAGAGCTGCTCTGTCCGCGTGCGTGGTGCAGGCTCCCTGCGCCCAGTGCTGCCAGTGGCAGGGCCGGCCAAGGAGCCGCTGGAACAGCACAGAGCCCCGGGCGTTTCTGGCT